GAGGAGGAGGAGGAGGAGGAGGAGGAGGAGAAGGAGGAGGAGAACAACAACAACAACAACAACAACGAAAACAACAACGTTACTAGATACTTTTAAGCAACACATGTCCCTAGCTGAAAGCAGGCTTTGTGCACAGGACATTATATCCCATCCCCTTTAAGCCACATAACAGCAAAATATTCTCATCTTCTACGAAGAAGTAAGAGCAAGCTGGCATTTCTCAAAGGCTCAAGCACTGATGCACTGACAAGTATGCATGTATAAAGCAGCTAGCTTTGCATTCATAAGAAAAGTAATAATAATTACAATATAGGACGATAGATGTTTGATCATTGATAGGAAAGAAAGAGCAGATCTCTCTCTCTCCCTCCCTCTCTCCCTCCCTCCCTCCCTCCCTCCCTCCCTCCCTCTCGACTACTGAGCATAATGAGAATAAGTGTGAATCCTTTATCAAGCTTACCCCATCACGGTCCGAGGCAGTAATGGTGGAGCCGATGACAGAGCCGAGTGTTGCTGAGTCCACATTGACACTGTACCTGTATGGCGTGTTCTCAAAAACAGGGGGAAACTGATTCCTGACCACGTCGATCGAGATAGTGTTTGTGGTCCTGATGTTAGACAGTCCCGAGTCAAACGCGTACACATCAAGCTGCAAACAAAAAATGTAGGATTATTATATTTAAGAGGGGATGGAGTTATTTTATTTTACGTTTGGTTGGGGGGGTAGGGGGGGTTGCGGGGCGCAAGGGATGGGGAGGGGGCTAGAGCACGGACCACAAATTACATCAAATGACATGTAACTGCAATATACTGATACAGATAAGAAATGTACACTTTCAGAAATGTAGTTGGGTTTAATATCTTGCCGTGGACACTTCTCCAGCGCAAAAAGGTCATATTTCTTTTTTTTTTTCTTTTTTTTTTTATCCTTACTGAAATATATGTTTTCTTCTTTATAAGTAAAGAATATTTGCGGGTATTTTTTAGTAAAAGGAACACTGATAAGAAACGTGGATCAAACTGAATGGTCATCAATAGGAATCAACATTTAAACGTAAGGGAACAAAAAGGGATGTAGGCGTACAGTTTTGACGGAGGGCTCAGCCTCCCGAACAAGAAACAAACACAGCGACGGGCACAAGAATAACTTCAGTCTGGGGACAAAGAAACAGACAGAAAAGGATGCTCAGGACAGGCTTCGCTGGAGTAATGTTGTTGATGGCCTGTGCTCCACTAGGAGTTAAAAAGGGCAAGAGAGAGAGAGAGAGAGGGGGACAAAGACGGCCGCGACGTACGTTGTAAGTAGTGTCTACAGTTGAGAAGAGGTCCCGCCGTAGGGTGACTTCGCCAGTGACCGGGTTGATCACAAAGATAGAAGGAGCGGACCCCTGGCCTGATATTCCATATCTTATTTGTTGCTGGGGAAAAAAAACAAAAAACACATAAAGGAATTCCATTAAGTTCAACAAACAAACAAAGAAAGGCATCCACCATCAAAATAAAGCAAACAATTTACAAAGGCATTAACAATCTTCTTCTTTTTTTAAGTTTCGCGCCAGACTTACTCACACTTTTATTTTCATCCAACTGACAGCATCATGAAAAATCTAGAAAAAAACAAAATCACCACACAAAAAAACAGACATCGAGCAAATAAGAGAAAAACAAAGTTAGGCTTATAGTAAGTAAGTCTATTCCTTCATCTAATTTATTCCACAATTTTCCCCTCTCTTCCATAGGAAGAAAAGTGATGCTTCTGACCATGTACTTAACATTGATAACACACCTTCAACACAAGGAATACTGAACAGCTGAAAACAACTTACATTTTTTTTTTTTTTTTTTTTTTTATTAGCGGACGATAACCATCCACCCGATAGAAAAGAGGGTCAGATTTCTCCGGAGTGCCTCGGGCAGTACCTGCCTCGCTAAACCAGGGGGCACAAGGCCGGAGGAGTAGCAGAGAACAGATACCACCTTTGATCGAAGCCAAAAGGGCGAGAAGCGATGAAAACAACTTACAATCAAATTTCTGTCGAAGGCGGTAACATTCACAACGAGCTTGCCACTGGTGTCCGACTCATCAAGCTGGATCTTTGCAGGCAGATTGGAAAACTCTGGAGGAGAGTCCCTTTCAACTGAGACTGTCACCGTCGCTGTTCCCACCCTCTCCGGGGTGCCTCTGTCCGAGGCAAGAACTTTGATCTGGAAACATAATAAACAAGGTCACATGATGATTGATTGATTGAGTAGGTGTTTTACGGAACTATCGACTCAATTCCAGGTTCACATGATTGAGCCTGCTCGAATTCAGTATAGTTTTCGTAAGAGTTTTTACGACACTTGCAGCACAATAAGGTTATGTAAGTTCCGAAGATTTGAGGTGCCACAAGCAAACATATATACAAATTCACAAGACTAGGATTTGGCTCAGATTCACAGTAAGAGTTTTACGACACTTGCAACACAATAAGGTCATTAAGTGCCGAAGATTAGAAGTGCTACAAGCAAGTAGCAAACACAAAAAAGGAGGAGAGATAACGATGATGGATGATTGATAGGAAAGAAGGAGCCAACCACACAAGAGCATCTTCCAACTACCCACAGGCTCAGATTTGATCAAACCGAACTGACGATAAGAAAAGGAGATTTTTAGGATGGAAAGAAAGAGAGTTGTAGACAAGGGCAAACAGCCCCTTTTTTAGCCACCATTGGTCAGACCAGATGGGAACAACATAGCTGTCATGCAGTTTAACTGATTCCGTCCATGATTTTTTCAGGCTCTGGACAGAGTTATTTTTCCCTGCTCAGTTTTAGACCTGGGGTGCATCTATTTAACGCATTACTGTGAAGCTCTAAGTCACTCTAATATGTGTTGTCATATACCAAACTGATGGGAATAAATAGAAAAATCTGTTTATATCAATAACAATGACCTATAATCTGTTTGTATTACAATTTCCTTCTGACAAAAACGAATGAGAAAAAAAAATTGCGCAACAGCTCTTCGAAAATTTCGACTTACCGCATTTTCTCAGCTCTACAAGTCCTTATAATCCATAGGAATCAACACAACATTGTAGCGATATCACCCTAGCACACATTTATGCAAGAATTTCACAAATTTAGTTGAATATCTTTCTTTGAAGAGCCTTTTTATTATACCAGGCTCCGTGTTGTTTACCCTTAGATCTAGCCTACATCGCGACAACAAAACAACGATTTTTGCAAGAATTTCGCGGAGTTTCGATCGATATTGGTGCTCAGAGATTGAGGTCAGGTTTGTTTACAAGTTCTACTTCCTTTCAACAACTTAAAAAGTAGGAACTATGTTAAAAAGTGCACCTTTGTTTCGGATTTCGTTGAGCCGCTCACAGCGGCCGAATGGAGGCAGCGGAAAAACTCAGAGCCGCTGTCAGCGGCCGAATGGAGGCAGCGGAAAAACTCAGAGCCGCTGTCAGCGGCCGAATGGAGGCAGCGGAAAAACTCAGAGCCGCTGTCAGCGGCCGAATGGACGGAATCAGTTTAAAGCAGACATAAACAGCAGACAAGGCTGACGATAATCAAAACACAATATGCACAAATAGTAAACACAAATACTACTGCAAATTATAACGTATGCACTTTCACACACACACACACACACGTACTCACACATTTACACAAACATACACACAAATAAACACAAGTAAGAACACATACAAATGCACAAAACATTTGAATGAAACAAGAACACTGGTCTAAAGTATATCTATGACTTACCTCATATTGATTTGTTAAATCCTGGGAAAGAGGCTTACGAATTGTCAACCTTCCAGACAAGTCATCCACTTCAAAAAGGTTTTGGATATTTCCACCGGCAGCCAGGTAGTACCGCAGGGCATCCTAGATAGGAGAAAAAAACCCCAAAACAGGTAATAAGTAACTGAATTCTCTTTAAAGTGAACTTGGGTTTTATAAAGCATAATTATGTGAAGTAAACAAACAACATTTATTTTTGGTTAGGCGGATTCAATCAATCAATGCCTTTCACCCCTGGCAGGGTATAGGCCGCATACAAGCTCCTTCCATTTATCTCTGTCCTGAGCCATCCTTCCAAGCTCGTTCCAAGTGAGCTTCATTTCTCTCATGTCCCTTTCCACGCATCTCCTCCATGTTTCCCGTGGCCTACCCCTGCCTCGGGCTCCCTGTTGGTTCCACTGCAGTGACTGTCTTGTTATGCGGATTACCAACTAAAAAAAGCACCTTTCCATACACCTGCCTGTTCTGGATATTTACTTCTTTTTTTTTTTGCTGTTGTTGAAAATATTGATTTTCAATACCATACAGTAAAAGAGAATACCTTCAATAAAATCATAATCTACTCAGACTAAACAAATCAATTCAAGCACTTCTCCTTAACATTAATATTTAAAATAAAATATAATTCCATAAACTACAAAGCCGAGAAAGCTCATATCTAAGCATAGTAAAAAAAATATGTTAGAATTTCAAAACTTAATTTTAAGAAAATATCTGAGAAGGCCAGTCAATGTTCACATCACAAAGATCGCACTCTTGTCAAACTTTGTAAAAGCCATATAGGCATTCAACATACAAAACTAATATTACATTTTGCTTTATAAAAATGTTTTATGAGCAACTGCATAGTTTTACATTACTAATTTCCCTCTGTAAAAGTCTGTCTTCACCGGTGCAGTTACAAATTCAAGTACAAGAGGCATTTTCAACAGGGCATTACCACCAGACAAAATCTTTAAAGACACAGAGAATTAAAATAATACCGGACATCAAACATCAGTTAGGTCAAAACAGCCAAGCTAAGCCAATTGAAACAGAACAAAAATCAAAGCATTTTCAACAACATAAACAAGAATCTACCTGGCTATTGGCTTCAGGCAAGATTTCCAGCAACAAGGCCAGTAACTTGAACTGTATAAAGATGTTAAATAGTCATAAAATGTGGCTGACCAGAATGAGCCATTACAAAAAGAAAAGAGGATACTTGAATCTTCCCTCTAATGGTCGGAAAAAAGGTGGGATCAAAACTAATAACGACTCACTCCATCAGCATCTTGGGCAGACAGCTGGGCCACTTCATAACCAGCGGGCTGGAACTCAAACACAGACACTCGTAGGTTGGTCTGGTTAAAGACTGGGATGTTCAGGTTGCGGTTCACAGAGACGGTTATGGAGCAGTAGCCAAGGTTTCTCGGGAAGCCTGCTGAGTACACCTCTGCTTCCAGCTGCGAGGGCGAAAAAAACAAAACAGAAAAGGATGAACACTCCGAAGACAGGAAGTGCTACAAGTTTAGAAAAAAACAAAAACACACAAAAAACGCGCGCTCAAGTCACCTTATGCAGTTGTAAGAGCTGTATAACTCTTACTAAACTAAAACAAGCTAAAAAGGTATAAAGCAGTACAATTAAGCCACGGATGAATTTCAGGCTTGCAATGAAAGAGTCCAAACTTTAAGTCTGTGGGTAAAGGATGACAACATAATGATAATTTTTCCCTTATCTAAGAGTGAATCAGGTTCGTTCATTTGTTTTGAGGTGTTTTACGGCACTATTGAGTCAGTTTGGTCTGAATGAACCATGTACCTAGTGTGCCCAAAGATAAAGCTCCAACAAACCCAAGGCCTGTCCAGGTGTTCATAATTGGTCGCTTTTAAGCACAAGGGGGCTATCCCTAAAAATGCTGTTTTGAGAAAATCGAAGGTAAAGCTTTTGCCACTGGTTCACTTTCTTTAAAAGACAAGGAGGGTTTTCTCTATAACCAAACAAATATATACACCAATGAAACCAAACTTCTCCTATAGGTAAGGCAATGCCCACTTTTGCAGTAGGCCAAGATTTCTGGAAAACCCCGAAATCTGGGTTGGTTCACTAGTCCTTAAGAGCGACCAATTTATATGGGAAAATGCATTTCCCTTTTTATGGCAGAAACTGAATTAAAAGGTTCAGCTGTGTAGCCTTTACTTGTGCGAGAAAATTTTACTTATCAACTACTTTGAATAGCTTTTGTTTCCACGCTGACAAAGAAGTAATAGGTCTTAAGCACCACTGGTCAGAATAGTATTTTAGACCAATTTATAATTTATTTAAAACCTTGGAATATTTCATGAGATTTTCAAACAGATGTCTTAGATCCTCCTTGCCTTGCAGACAGATTAGCCACTCTGTACTTTACCTGGAATGATCTCAAATCTGTCAAGGTGAGCGGGACATTCACAAACACTTGGCCCTTTTGATTCACACGGAAGAAAGACCTTGCAATGCTGTTCCCAGTGGGTCCAAAGACAAATGTGCTGGTCTGTGGATACAGAAAATAAATATTACAAATTGAGGACATGTTAGATGTCTGTATAAAGTATATTTTATGTAAACAGTGTCACACTGACACAAAAAGACCTTTACCACAGACAAAAACCAAGGCTGACGGATATAAACAAAAGAGGGATATTAAAAAAGTAGGTGCTGCCAATGACACATGGGAGAACATTCAGCTTTTCACATGAAGAACTCTGTTACTGTATTCTGTATTAACTACATTAATTCTCACAGTAATATGTATTAAACTTTTGAGGCCAAAGAGATGGACAAAAACTCACACTGTCGTCTTGGTCAAAAGCTGTGAAGGTGAAGAAAGGCAACGTGGCATTCACACCAGAATTCTCGTTGATAGAGGCGGCGCCAGTATTTGTGCAGGCTGGTGCAAACTGATCTCTGGTGATCGTGATCTCAACAGAAGCCTGTCTAGATCTCACAGGCGCCCCATCGTCGTAGGCTGTCACAGAGAACTGTCAGAAAAAAAACCCAAAAAACATTGTCTTATGGGCATTGGATACTCAGAGTATGGTCACATATCATTTCAAGTGCTTTGACTAGAAACAGAACAACGACAACAGGGACTCTCAAGTGAGAGTTAATATTTCAGAAATGTGTATTCATACACATTATATCTATATAACCATTCTTATCAAGAGTGCAAGTAACCTACTAATAACATTTTTTTCATTCTGTCCCCTAATTTTAAAAATTGTGGAATTTCCAACTCCTAACACCTACCAAAATCTCATCAGCACACAAAGTTTTTGAACAAGCACAAATGCTTGAGCTCACATGAGCAAACAGAGTTGGAAAAAACCAGTTGAAACAGCAGACTAAAGAGCGTGCTATTGTAATTCAATTGTGAAATTATAATAATAATAATAACGGATTTTAAAACTGCAAGAAACCATGAGTGAAGAAAGAAAGAATCAGCCGCTGACCCGATACACGTTGCGAGGGGCTTGCGTGAGATCTCCGACAGCTTTGATACTTCCGCTCACTGGGCTGATGGAGAAGTACTGCATGGCAATCTGGCCGTCTGTGTTAGGCTGAATGTAATATCTGACAGTGTCCTGTAACAAAACACAAGAAGAAAAGTGAAAGAATTAGTCGCAACAGAAATGGAACAAGTTTTGAATAGGAGTTTTATGGCATTTGCAACACATTAACCTCTTCACTGCGGAGTAGACATATTATGTTCTGGCTTGTATTCTCCTGTTACATTGTTTTATCTGGTTAACAAAAGAATTTTAGTTGATATAGTTACAGCTTGTGATTTTGCTTATTCTGAAACAATTCTGTGTTTAAATATTCCTTGAATTGACATTCTATCTCGTCTGGTCATATGCTGATGGAAACCTTTCAGCAGTTAAGGGGTTAAGGTCATAAAAGTGCCAAAAGATAAGAGGTGTTACAAGAGAGCAACAAACACAAGGTAAAGATGAAATGTTTTATTGGAAAGAAGGAGCAAACCACACCAGAGCACCCACCAACCACCAACATGACTGAGTTTTAAATAATCACATCTATAAAGGAATATTCTAGGAAATCATATTGCAGCAGCCGCAGCCTTAAAGTCTAAATATACTACTTTAAAATGTTAAGGAAACCAGTTTCCTTCGTTGACTACGTCATCCCCATAGTCCTACCACTCAAAAACAGCGCACAACACACAAGGCGCTACATAATATTGTGCGTTGGTTTCTTCACTTCACCCATGTTGGAATGGGTAACTCACAAAAGACAACGAAAGATCTTGTCAGCTTCATTGACTGACTTGTTGAGTAGGTGTTTTACGGCACTTCACCCATGTGGGAATAAGTACCTGACCATAGACAACGAAAGATCTTGTCAGTTTAATTGACTGACTAGTTTTACGGCACTTCACCCATGTGGGAATAGGTACCTGACCATAGACAATGAAAGATCCCGTCAGTTTGATTGACTGACTAGTTTTACGGCACTTCACCCATGTGGGAATAGGTACCTGACAATAGACAACGAAAGATCTCGTCAGTTTGTCAGTGTCTGAGTGCTTAATAGGTTGCTTGCACTGTGCATCTAGGAAACCAATAATTTTTCTAACCGTTCCAGAGTCTACAGAGGTCTAATAACAAGCGTAAAGTTCAGTAGAGCAAGGCCCCAACATCTGACATTTTTGGCAAAGTACTGTGAGAGAGATCAAATCTTCTGATTCCTTCAAATGTCAGCTGAAGTCACTTCTATTTTTCAACTTATAAGACGAACATTCGGAGAGATTTTCTTATGGTCAGAGCACAACGTTTTATGTTACTGTTGTACTGTATTGTAAAACGCTCAGAGCCTGGGTACTTTAATCCGGGTTCAGTGTTATATAACGTAATTTATTATTATTATTATCATTATCATTATTATTATTATTATTATTATTATTATTATTATTGTTCTTATTATTAGTATTATTATTATTATTATTGTTATTATTATTGTTGTTATTATTATTTATTATTGTTATCATTGTTATCATTATTATTATTATTATTATTGTTATTGTTATTATTGTGGTTGTTATTGTTATTTATCATTGTTATCATTATTATTATTATTATTATTATTTGCACTATGCAAACCAAGTTTCAATTATCGTGACTACTTACATTATCTCCATCCCTGGCTTCCACGGTGAGCACAGTGTTACCGCGAGGGAAGTACTCACTAATCGTCTCCCGGTAGGTACCAGTAACAGTGAAGGCTGGGGTGTTCGGGTTGTGGTTCACATTGATCACAGCGTAGGATTTGCCTCGAAGATCTGGGTTTTGCTCATCAAAAGCGTACAGCTCCACCTGAAAACAGAAAATTTAGTGGCTAGGACAGAACTTTCAGCTGGGGGGTAAAATGGCAGGTTTTAGTTTTAGTAAGTTTTACGGCACTTGCAGCACAATAAGGTCAAATAAGTGCCGAAGATCAGAGGTGTTACAAGAGAGTAACAAACACAAAAAAGAAGGAGGGGAGATAAAGAAGATAGACGTTTGACAGGAAAGAAGGAGCAAACCACACCACAGTACCCGCCAACCACTCACACAGAAAAGAACAAATGGAAGGAAAGAAAATAAGGATGACCTGCTGATCACACTTTCCAATCACTTGTCGAAGTTGATCCACCTTGGTTTGAGCTAAACAAAAGCAATATTGATGATATGGCTACCATCATTTAGTGCTGTGCACCAACAAAGCAGACAAACAGAAACAAAAATAGAGGGATAGGGCGCAGCAGTGATGAAAGTAAAATCACAATTCAACTATCAGAGTGGCAATAGGGACAATAGTAGCATTATGAAGGAAACAGGATGGCCCAGGACAGAGATAATTGGAAGGATGGCCCAGGACAGAGATAATTGGAAGGATGGCCCAGGACAGAGATAATTGGAAGGATGGCCCAGGACAGAGATAATTGGAAGGATGGCCCAGGACAGAGATAAATGGAAGGAGCTTGTGTGAGGATGAAAGGCATAGATGACGAAAAACATGTGAGAGAGATGTGGAGGAACTTACGGTCTGGTTGGGTCAAGCACCAGAGATAAATAGAAGGAGCTTGTATGTGGCCTATACCCTGCCAGGGGGGAAAGGTATAGATGAGGAAACATGTTTTTTTAGTTTTAGTAGAGGTTTTACGGCGCTCGCAACTGCATAGGGTCATATGAGCGCCAGAAGATTAGAGGTGTTACAAGAGAGTAACAAACATAAAAAAGAAGAAGGGGAGATAAGGACGATAGATTTTTCATAGGAAAGAAGAAGCAACCACAACAGAGCACCCGCCAACCACCCACTTGAAAACATGTAAGAGAGCCGTGGAGGAACTTACGGTGTAGAATGAGGCTCTGTTTGGGTCAAGAGTCAGATTTCTGGCCAAAGTGATGGCTCCGGTGTCTCTGTCGATCACAAAGAAGTTGACATTCTGTGCCGCACTCAGCTCATACTTGATTCGGTTCTGTCAAACAAAAATAAAAAAAGAATCGTACAGTCAAAGGACTACTTTTCGAACACAAGTAATAACATAGTTTTTAGTGAAGCAGCGTGGTGAAATCGGGCGCTCCTTCAAATAATGTAAGCAAGGAAACCGGCATTCTTTTGGCCGTCTGTGAATTTTTTTTTTTTATTTCCTTGTTTCGGTTCAATACTTTCTATGTCCATTTGTTGTTGTTGTTGTTGTTGTTGTTATCGATCGACTATGTCCATTTAACAATAGGTTTCTGTGTGAATTTTATTGAAAAAAACATTGACCAAACGTTTAAAAAAACCTAAATTTGCAGTTTCAAAGGACACTCAAGCTTTGGAAGTCACCAAACTTTGGCAGCCATTTTCTCGCTAATTGTACCTCTCACACCAGGTGACCCCAACCTCCTTTAATCGTAAATAATATCTTCACTTCTATTCAAGATAGACGGGAACTTTTTGGCCAAATGAAAGACAAAGGAACAAACAAAGATGACATTAATAACTCCGTATGCCCAAAAACTGACGAGCGCCTGACTCCATTGCGTCGTGACACATATTATTCTGCACATGAAGCTATAGAAAAATGAGAAGACATGAAACAATATAAAGAGGCTAGCCTCGGAAAGGTGGAAAGTGTCTGTTTAAAGCTTATACCCTGAAGCAGAATGAGAAAGACAGTGATGAGGACACGAATCTCCAAAACTTGTCAATAAAAAACTTGTCAATAAAAAAAAAGCATTCAATAAGAAATAGCTTTCGAAACCCATACTACTGTAGTTTGAAAAGAAATTAAAAACAGCTTATTTTCTGGAGTGCCTGGTCAAACTCAATACATTGAGTCCAAAACCATAACAATAACTATGTGTGTGACCACTAGTTAGGAATTTATAAGTCTTTTTTCTATTTTCAAATGAATTAAGCAATTTAGGACCAGTTTTCGTACTGTTTTTTTTCTTTGACTCCCATTATAAAATTCTCCACAACAACAAGTCAGTGAGGAGTGAAGATAACTTCACATATTGCGGCCATAAGAAAATAATGAAAATAAGATGAACACAATATATTTAATAATGAAAATAAGAATCTTCTCCCTCCCCTTCTCGCTTCCATTCCATATCTCTTCAAATCCTTCTCCTTCTAACTCTCTCCCACCGTCCACAGTTCTATCTGCA